GCTGCTCGAATGATTGTTGGGTGTTGATATCGACGGACGAAAGCCAACAGCCGAAACCAGGGTGGGAGTGGTACCAGCCAACGACGGTTTCGGGCCTATACGCAACAGATTGTCAGTGAGGTTGAAGCCGGGGCCCGGTTCGAGTCTCGTCTTACCGTCCAGTTTGCCGCAGCATGTCCATCATCTTGGTCTGGAAGACAGGATCCACCGCCTCGACACTGACACCCGTACCGCTCTGAGGCATAGCAAAGACATCAACCACCCGGACCGTGTACTCATCAACGAATTCACCCAGCATGAGACCCATGACTTCCATGGGAACACCTGCCCGACCATGCCTTAACATCTTCAACAGAGCGAGCGACGAGATGTGAACAGTTTCGGAGTTATCGATCAGGTTAGGGGTATCCTAGATTAGGTATATTTAGCTATTACCGTCGAAGTATCGCTGCAATGTTGGTTGGCGATTCCGCCGCCTGGCGGAGGGGCGGCATGATAGCCTTGGATAGAAACAGCAAGCAATCGGAGTAGAGGGACCTACGCCACCAGGAGCTCCTCCGCCCATGCCCATGCCCTGGGCAGCCTGCAGCATTCTATTGAGACGATCCATGATTGATGAGGTGATGTGAGTTAAGGTAAGTTGGATGGAAAGACGACACCGGATGTCTTCCTGGGCGGAAGCTCCAACAGGCAAGAGGAAACGGATGGATTGAAGGGGGTTTGGAGCTGCAGAGAAGCGCGGAGTAAATCGCCTGAAATGACGGGGTCGTAAATGAGATCTAAATGGTTCTAAGGAGGCAAGAGTGAGCAGCGGGGAGTTGACGGGAAGATGAGTGGTGAGCGGCGCAACTCAAGCGTGAAGCCATCGGTCGAGCTTCCAAGAAGCCTGACGAAGGCGGTGGAGCAGCTCGGGGTTCCCGCCTTTGCGTCTCTCCTTCCCTTCCCTCTCTTGTTCCCGTTCCCCATCTTTAAGTTATCGTTCGCCCGCCTTATTGGGAATGCCTCTTCTCTGTTCCAATCCCGCTACCACGATCAATTTGCTTGGTTGATTGACGAGGGGATACCTTCTGTCACTCAGACTTGGCTTCTTGCCTTGGTCTGAATTCCATTCCCTTCCTTTTTCTCCCATTCAGCTCCGTTGTGATCAGACCGAGAAAACACCGCGCATAATCCATAGAATCCCCCAACTCCTAAACTGCGTGAGGATCCGTCTCGTGTACTTACACGTTGACCTCCAACATGTCGACTTCCTTGCCTCCTCTGGACCCTATCACCAACGGGTCGGGGGACCGCGGTAAGAAGGTCGCTTACTTCTACGACTCGGACGTCGGAAACTATGCCTATGTGTCGGGTCACCCCATGAAGCCTCATCGCATAAGGATGACGCACAGTCTTGTCATGAACTATGGTCTCTACAAGAAGATGGAAATCTACGTGAGTCTAGCTGGCAACCCTCTGGTGGTTAGGGAGGTGCTAACCGCAAGATCGCCACAGCGTGCGAAACCGGCCTCCAAATACGAAATGACCCAGTTCCACACCGATGAATACATCGATTTCCTTTCCAAGGTGACCCCGGATAATATGGACTCCTTTGCCAAAGAACAGAGCAAGTACAATGTCGGTGACGACTGCCCTGTCTTCGACGGGCTCTTTGAATTCTGCGGTATCAGCGCGGGAGGTAGTATGGAGGGTGCGGCACGGTTGAACAGGAACAAATGCGATATCGCGGTCAACTGGGCGGGTGGTCTTCACCACGCCAAGAAGAGCGAAGCTAGTGGCTTTTGCTACGTGAATGGTGAGCTAAAGGAAGAATATTGGGTTTAATCTTGACGTTGACTGACTGGTTGGTAGATATTGTTCTTGGCATTTTGGAGCTGCTGCGTTTCAAACAGCGAGTGCTCTATGTTGACATTGATGTTCATCATGGAGACGGTGTCGAGGAAGCGTTCTATACGACCGATCGTGTCATGACAGTCTCTTTCCACAAGTATGGTGAATATTTCCCGGGAACCGGTGAGCTCCGCGATATCGGCGTGGGCCAGGGCAAGCACTACGCTGTCAACTTCCCCCTTCGTGACGGTATCGACGATACTTCTTACAAGAGCATTTTCGAGCCTGTTATCAAGAGCGTGATGGAATGGTACCGGCCCGAAGCCGTGGTCCTGCAGTGCGGAGGTGACAGTCTCTCAGGTGATCGTCTGGGGTGCTTTAACCTCAGCATGCGCGGCCACGCCAACTGTGTAAACTTTATCAAGAGCTTCAACCTGCCCACTCTGATTCTTGGCGGTGGTGGTTACACGATGCGTAACGTTGCTCGAACCTGGGCGTTTGAGACCGGTATCCTTGTGGGAGACAGCTTGACCGCGGAGCTTCCCTATAACGACTACTACGAGGTAAGATCGACTATGCGGATTTGGGTTAACCTGACTAACAAGTGCAGTACTTTGCTCCCGACTACGAATTGGATGTGCGGCCCTCTAACATGGACAATGCCAACACGAAAGAATACCTCGACAAAATCCGGACGCAAGTTGTGGAGAATCTCAAGCGCACCGCCTTTGCGCCTTCCGTGCAAATGACTGATGTACCCCGGGAGTCTCTTGTGGACGGCATGGACGACGAAGCGGATGCGATTTTGGATGATCTGGACGAAGATGAGAACAAGGACAAGCGCTACACGAAGCGACGCTTTGACCAGTACATCGAAAAGCCCGGCGAGCTCAGTGACAGTGAAGATGAGGATGAAGCTGCGGCCAATGGTGTACACCGCAAGCCCCAGTCGATGAAGCGCAGAAACCAGGTTAATTATCGGAATCTGGACGTGGCTGATTCGGGCCCGGAGAGCGGCATGGCCACCCCTGTCGACGCTTCCTCAATCCCCGACGACGACATGGACCTGACCGCCGATACGAAGATGACGGAAGCTCCGGAGCCGTTGACCGGGGCACAGGCTTCGCCCGCGGCCGCTGACCTGCCGGCCAGAACTGAGGCGGCATCGGGTGCAGATGCTATGGAATTGGCACATGATGGACTCGGGGATCAGGCTGCTCCCTCTGCGCCTATCTCTCGTCAACCGTCCCCCAAACCCCAAGATGAAGATACGACGATGGAGGACGCGGGAGATGAGGCGCCTGGGCCGGAGCAGGCTGAGAGCGCACCCGCCGTCGCCCAAGCAGAGAACAAGGGCGAGGAGAAGAAGCCTAGCGCAGAGACTTCTGCCCTCGAGAACACCGCACCTGAGGGCTCATCAGCGCCTGCCAAGAGCCAGTCACCCTCGACAGAGACGACCCAGCAACCTGAGACCACCGAGGTCGAAGACGCTAAGTCAGCGGCTGCGTCAGCCGAAGCCAGCGAACCGAAGGATAAGAGCCCCGAGGCTCCAAAGGGCGACTCGACTGTTCCTAAGGCCGAGTCGGAGACGAGTGACGGAGCCAAGGAGGCCACGAAGACAACGCAGCCTGACGAGCCCACGAAGAGTGAGGACTAACGAGGCTCCTGTAATCTCGGGGGTTGCTGGCGCAAGGGACGGGCAGTAATGGTGTTTCTGGTTGCGATCTTCTGCATGGGAATTAATTCCGACATATATCTCTGGTCTGATTTTTGCTTTGTTTTTTTTACTCTTTCTAAGATGTATGTACTAGGCGAATGCATGATGATATAGGATGTTCATGTGTCTTGGAAGTAACCTCCGGTTGCTCGACGAGAGCCACCTATGTGCTCTTGTAAAGTGGTAGAGGCGAACGAAAGCCAGTGCAAACATACAAAAAATAAAGGGTCACGGATTGGTATGGATCGAGTCAACGGCATAGCCACCACTTTGCCATGCAGAGGGACAATCATCAGTTAGTTGTTTTCTGACTGAGCCTTCAGTCGCATCTAAGGTATCTCATCTACATCCTTGCCCTAGCTATAGTTCCAAGCCACGTGACGAGATCTCAGTATCACATGACCTCTACTCAGCCTAGCAGACTAGCCCTAGGGCATTTCCGGCCTCGACCAATCAGACGCACTCCGCCAAGATTTCGCCCACTGAATTTGCGCGCCCACTAAGCGAGGATTCGACCGACCGCCCCGACCGCCCACACGCCCGCCGTGCGACCCCCCCCCCGACGCCCGCCCGCTGAGAGAACGAAGCTCGAGTTCGACCTTGTTGTCGTTGTGTCCATCGCCCAATTCTCCATCTCTCCCGACAACCCCCGTGTTTAGAGATACACAGCAGCCAAGATGTCTCAGAGACCGTGAGTTGACCGTCCCCGTTTTTGCTCATTGAAGGAAATGAGGTATTGGAGGAGAAGGCAAAGGGGAGGGAGGGAGGGAGGGAGGAAAAGTTGCATCGCAAGAGGTGGAACTCGGAATGATCTGGGATACGGGAAATCGGAGGACGACGAATTCTCGCACCGGTGCCATCGATTACTGGGATGTTGGCGCTCGAGAGGCTTTTTCCTGCACCTTGGGCAACAAGGAGAAGGAGAGAGGATCGAGCAGTCGAGGGAACAGACACGAAACAAAAGAGATGGGATACGATTCGACAAGCGCCCTTTTGTATGGATTTCAACGACTGCTGGGAGTTTTCTCTCTCTCTCTTTGTGTTCTTTCGAGGATAGATTGAGGGTCATCGACGAGAAAACTTCACGGCGAAAATCTTTCGATATTCTTTTTACGACGGTTTCCGGCATCGAATGGTCAACGCTATCACGAATGGAATCTTGAGGATGCAATTTTTCTTCTCCGGGTGTTGAGGAAAAGAAATGCGAACTTGGGGGGGACTTTAATCTGCTCAGCACTACCACTACATCGACAACAACGAAAGCTGACCATGTCCATCTCTTTTACAGGCGTCCCTCCGGCAACAAGCTCAAGATGACCCTGGGTCTTCCTTGGTACGTGTGCATCGAATGCTCCCATCCCCGATGAACATCGATCCCATCCACCAATGTTCAACCCACCACTTGAACAAATTCCCGCCACCGAGATCAACGACATGACAATCGATCGAAAAACTAACAGTCGCAAACAGTGGCGCCGTGATGAACTGCTGCGACAACTCCGGTGCCCGCAACCTTTACATCATCTCCGTCAAGGGTATCGGTGCTCGCCTGAACCGTCTCCCCGCTGCCGGTGTCGGTGACATGGTCATGGCCACCGTCAAGAAGGGAAAGCCTGAGCTCCGTAAGAAGGTCATGCCCGCCGTCGTCGTCCGCCAGAGCAAGCCCTGGCGCCGCGCTGATGGTATCTACCTCTACTTCGAGGACAACGCTGGTGTTGTAAGTTCTGTTGTGGCTCGAGCCCAATGTCTCTGGAATTTCGGCAGGTTGCTAATATTCGTTGTTAGATCGTCAACGCCAAGGGTGAGATGAAGGGCTCTGCCATCACCGGTCCCGTCGGTAAGGAGGCCGCTGAGCTTTGGCCTGTACGTTTTCCCCCTCCTCTCCCTCCAGACAAGACATTCAATGGTTACTAACGGGGCTGCTTCCTCTACAGCGTATCGCCTCCAACTCCGGTGTTGTCATGTAAAAAAAGCCTTGAATTATCTTGCGGGTGTGTGACAAAGCGGATTTGGGGAACTGATACCAAAGCTCGGAATCATGGGTGGGGGTTGCCAATTCAAATCTATGACCTCGAATAAAATGAAAATGAATTCATAAAAAAGTTATATCCTCTCTTGCTGTAGGCACGTTGCTTGTATCGATGTAGTTCATGTTCTTGGTACCCGTAACTATTGACTATCTGCATTGTCCATGTGAATGCGTATGTATTTGAGGGTTGAATCTCCTCAATGATCTATCATGATCTATGCTTGCTATACCTGATGTCTAAGGCTTATATAAATGTGTATAATATCATCTCTGTTATGACCTTATGTCTTAATCTTCTCAGGTCGGCTCTTGACATCGTCTTTCCGTTCCTGGGGCTTCTTCGACCGCACCGCTGTCAAAAGAAGTAGGACTGCTACCACGACCGCGACGCCGAGAGTCACCAGATCCACCACATGCACCGCCCACCAGATGTGCTGCACCCCGGCCGCGCACATCTGGATCTCATACTCCCACTCCTGCTTGTCCACGTCAAACCACACGGACAGCAAGCCCGCGTACCCGCCATACGCACCCATCATCGAGCGCATGGTGACCTCGCGGATGGAGGGCGTTGACGTAGAAGTAGTAGTCGCGGCCTCCTGCGCGGAGGAGTAGCGTTTGGCGTCCCATTGCCAGTCCCTCTGCTCGGGGTCTGCGTCTGCAGCAGCAGCAGCAGCATCTTCAGTTTCCTGTTTGCCTGTGCCTTTGTCCTCGCCTTCGCCCTCACCCTTCCCTTCACCCTCACCCTCGCCATCACCTTTCAACACCGAGTCCAACCCCCCACCCCACCTCACAAAATGCAAAACATCGCACCCCTCATGATCATGCCCCGTCAACACCAACCCCTTCCTGCCCCATCCACCACCTTCCACCGCGCCATCCCCACTCATCCCAAACACCCCCTCCAACACTCCATTCCCACTCACCCACTCACTCAAATGATTCTGCTCGCGCAGCCCACCGGCAAACCACCTTTTCTCCTCCCCAGTTGGGGGATCGTCGTCCTCTTCGAAGAACTTGAAATGCGGCGCGTCCACGCAGACGCCCGCCCGCTTGTGCAGCGGGAGATGCGTCAACAGCAACGTAAACGTGGAGCGGTCGGTGACCGGCGCGAGACGGTCAGCGATGAGGGCGTTGAGGTAGTCGTAGGAGGCGGACTGGATGTCCCGGCTGTGGGCGGGAGTGTCGAGGGTGAGGGAGTTGAGGTTGATGATGTGGATTTGTGGGGTTGCATCGTGGTTTGAGGCTGAGGTTGAGGTTGAGGATGAGGACGTGTTGAGCCAGAATTTCACGTCCCAGTTGACTTTGCCGAAGGTCTCTTCGAAGCGGGCGATGCGCGCGGCGCTGGCGTCCCCCGCGTATCCGATGTCGTGGTTGCCGACGATGTTGAGGAGGCGGTTGGTCCAGCGGGAGGGTTGGGTGGTGGGGTTGAGGGCGAAGTCGTCGTCGTCGTCGTCGGTGTCGGCAGGGGGAGCAGAAGAAGGGATGAACGAGTCACCCCGCACACCACCCTGGAATACTCGCTCCCAGTATCGGTGGCCTCGGCGCTGGAATTCCTCGTCGCTGACCCATTGACTCCCGATTAGATCGCCGAGGACCGTGACGTGCGTGGGCTGTGTCCACCAGTGGAGGGTGCGGTAAATGTGCGCGAGGTAGTAGTCGTTACCCAGGAGGTCGAGGCGTTTGCGTGCGGCTTTGAGGGTGCGGGGGAGGTCGGTGCGGAGGAGGGAGTGCAGGGCGCTGGTTATGGCTTGTTGCGTGGCGGGGAGGTTGATCTTGAACAAGGTCGATTGGTTTGCGCGGGTGTTGAGGTCCGGGTTGAGAATGGGCTTGGGGTCTGACTCTGAAGCGTTGCTGGAGGTAGAATCCGACGTAGACTCAGCATCAGTGGCCGAGCTCGAGTTTAGAGGAAGAGCTGGAGAGGTCAGGGCAGCCCATATCTGCCCCCAGTGGAGTCGCAGACGCGCTGGCAGCTCATCCTCTGCCTTAGGTAGCGAGCTGTCTCCCTCTAGTTGAGGGTCTGCAAGGACGAGAAGACGGAATGGCGCTGCTGGTGCGGGCTCAGCGTCTATGGGCATATGCTGTCGCACAGTGGCCAGAAAGGCATCCGAGAAAGAGTGAGAGTCATGCTGCGGCAGAGGAAAGGCGCACCCGTGGACGACGGGATACAGATACAGATACAGGCTGCTCGTCACGGCCAGCGGGACGAGCAGCACCAAAAGACGGCAAAGAAGGGATTGGAGGGACATTAAAATAGAGTAAAGGAGTGTGGTTGAAAGACAGAAGCAGCATCAGGGACAGTCATCATTATCCGGAGGGGCGTGAGGTTGTTTGGAAAGTTGGTCGATGCGGCGGGAAATCAATGGGCCTGCGCGTCTCGGCCCGCCGATCCTCACGCTATCGCCCTTATCAGTTGGCTTTTTCTAGTACAGGGCGGTGGTAAATACAGTAGGCAGTGCTCATTCTAAGCTTGGAGACGGAGAAGGTAAGAAAGTGTGACCGGGTGATTGACTACAGATCTGGTAGGCTATAGTTGGAAATAGGTCCAGTTGGAAATAGGTCCAACTATACTTTAGTTAACCATGCTTCTAAAGGGCAACATGTGAATCAGGGACGGTTCGTAGACAATGCAGAGCTTCAAAAGAAGAAAACCATACAACAACTCATTCAATCCAGTATCTAATCAAGCTATCGGCTCATCACAAGTCTTCGCGGATCATTTCAAGTCCGCTTTGAAAGAAATTCCAATGGGTATATCACATCAACGCCAAGCGAGCTCGCCGTCATCACTACAAGAAGCTATTAAAAGAATGTGAGGGGGAGAATGGAAAAATGGAAAAAAAAAATGTAAACCCCATGCTGCATCACTGCGAGCTTTGAATCGAATCCGGAAGTAGAGACGCAGGGCCAGTGTCAACTTCTAAAGGTTTCGAGAGTCTGGAACCATCCTCATTGCCGTCGCTGCTGGCAGGCTCGCCGTCCAAATCGAGCCCTTTGATCATCAAGCCTCGTTCCTCGGGTGTTTCAAACGATTCGGCGGCTGTCTCCGCGTCGGTGGTCTCCGATGATGCATTCAAAGACGCATCTTCTTTATCCATCGCCTCGGGCGCCGCACCCTCTTGTGCCCCAGCTGCCGCTCCCACCATCAACGCCGGAGGCCGCTGGTTCATCAACTGCGCCTCCTTCAGACTGATAGTACGCTGCTTATTCGTTGTCTCCACTGGTAAGTCCATGTCCCGCTCAATAGTCGCCTTCATCAACGCAGCCATCCAGCGTCGACCTTCCTGCACATTGTCGACCTGGAAATAGTGAACTGCCGGCTTCGTGAACTGCACTGTCCGCGAAGATCCCGACTTGGGCGGTACTAGCTTGAAGAAGAACGGGCCCTCACTTCCGGACTTGCTAGCTCGGGGTGCCTCAATGCTTGGAATGGGATCGGACGATGAGGTCCCGTCGGCCAATTGAACCGAAGGGGCAGGAGCAGTTGGCGACCCGGTGGAACCGGTAATTGTGGCATGCAGCGCGACCATAGGGTCGTGATCGGCGCGTAGCACGCGATGCGCAGTGATGTCAATCAATCCTCGTTCCTCTGTATCTTGCTCCGAATAATAATACGACAATCGGCGACCCCGCAGCACGAATAGCCGTGGCTTCCAGGTGGTAATCAGGTTCGGGGACTTCTTTTTCATCCAGCCAACGTAGTCGCACCCTGCCATCTGCTCCTGCGGAGACTTCTTCTCCAACCCACGCATGTAGGCACTGGTGTCTTTCTTTGACTTGGGGCCAGTCTTGACGGACGGGCGGGAGCGGGGCCACAGACCACCCTCCGTTGCCTTACCGGAGCCGTCCGTACTCAACCGTTCAGAACTCTTCGTGGTCGAAGGGGTCGTGGAACCAGTCCGAGGCGGAGCAGGATCTCGATCCTGAACCGGGGACGGCGGCGCAGCGGTTGTATCGACGTTCTTGCTCACCACATCCGACATGGCTCGGAGGCCAACGGCGCGACGGAACTTCGGGCCGCCAATCTTAGTTGATTGCTGAGACGAACGGGGTGTGTCGCTCTCCGACTTCCCACCGAACAGCGGACCGAACAGACTGGATCCTCCAGAACGGTCCTCAATCGCGGAAACGGGGGCCGATTGTGGTGTTCGCCGTTCGACCAGACGGGTACTGAGACTACGAAGTCGTCCCTTCGGCGCAGGAGTCGTGTAAGACTTGTTAGGCGGAGCAATAGGCTGCGTGGCCTTTTCTCGAATCGAGTCCATGCTACTGATACGTGAATGCCGCTTCGCAACCCGAAGGGGCTCCCCCGGGACCGGTGAAATGCGCGCATCGGCACTCCCGGCGGCGGATTGCCGTTTCTGCAACAGTCGTCGTTGTTTGCGGGTGTCCCCCTCGGGGCCAGAGAAGTAACCGCGATCAAGGTCATCGGGCGTTGCACCTGCCGTGTCTGAGCCATTCGACTGAGTTGGATGGTGGAAACCAGTATGTACGAGCCCCGTCTCTAATGCTGGAGAAGTGCCCGTCGAGGTCCCGGCCGATGTGCCCGGCCGCGTGGGAAGGCGTTGCTGGGGTCCTGTTGACAACGACCAGGCACGATCAAAGGAGCCGCGCTGTGTGGGTCCTGGTGAGCCATCAACGACTCCCGAGTAGCGAGTCGTCGCATCGATAGACGAGTGTCGACGCGAATGATTGATTTCTCGCACGGACGCAGCAGACGGGCGACGCGAATGATCCATAAATGATGAGCTTTGCGATGGGATCGGTGATCCGCTGCTGGTACTGGGAACGGCGTTGCTGACCAGCCGAGGATGGGGCGTGTTCGACGTGCGCAAGGTCGGGATGCGCGGTAGCAAAGGCGCGGTCTGTCCAGTTCGACTACGTGTGCGCTCAGGTGAGCCGGGAACTGCCGCCAGCGAGCTGCGCGGCAGAGTTGGTGACACTGCCGGCGATGGCTGCTTGTGAGCAACTTTGACCTGGTCCTGGAAGGTGCGAATCTTGTGCCAGGTTTTCAATCGACGGCCCATAACCCCAAAGTCAAACTCTTTCATAAAAAGAAAGTCCTGGTTCATATCGAGTAGAACTTCGCCACTAATCTCTTGCTCCTCGAAGATGTCACAGTGCTTGTCCTCAATGCCTAGCTGGCGCAGCTGCCGAGCCGTGTAGGCAGGAGACCAGCGTCGAACCTGGGCCTCCTGTGGCTGCCGCTCTTCCTCCTCGTCTGTTTCATGGCCATTGATGTAGGAGCGACGGTGATCGAGATGACTGCTATATTCGCTGGCGGAGTCGTTCAGAACGGAAGGCTCTCGGTCGGCCACACTATGTCGGGGCGTACTAAGATCGGTGATGTGTTCATCTATCACGCTGAGGGTCTCATTCATGACAGGGCTATCTTGGCCATTGCGATGTTGCCCCTCCAGTGCCTGGCGGATTTCAAGGGACATCTTGGCAGCCGGCAAGGGGGAAGAGGCGGAACGTTGCTGTGGCTGCTGCTGTTGCGGGGGCGACCGTGGCACCTCGGGGGCGCGTAGGTCGGAGATGCTGGTATGGCGCGAGACTTGAGGGGTGGATTCGCCGCTTCTGAGAAGCGGTTCGGCGTCAAGAGCAGCGCCATCGGTGTCTGTCGAGTGTTCGGAAGTCGTATGCGCTGTGCTCTCGGCAGGAGGGCGACTGCGGATCTTTGGAGCGGCAGTGGTGTATACTAGACAATTGACTGTCAGTGTTCGGTTGCCCAGCTGTAGGTAGACAGAATTGGACCCTTAAAAAACCTACCTCCAGGGAAGAGACCCGTCGAACCGGTGGTCAAGTCCTTGCCCAGATACCAGCCATCTCCAAAGCCCTCATCCAGCTCGACCAATTCAATCTTCTCACCGCGTCGCAAGGTCAGCTCGTCGGGGCCGCGGGCATCGAAATCATCTGCGCAGGTGAGCAAGGTTATCGCAAACAAGGTAACAGAACATGAACATAAATATGAACGGAAATACTCACGGACGACGAGCAGGAGATCCCCGGGGATAACACCGCGGGGAGGGGCGGCGAGGGCCATTTGGTTGGGGGGAGGGAGGGGGAGTGGGAGGCGTAATGACCGAGAGAGAGAAGGGTGGGGGGAGGAGGAAAAAGTGAGACTCAAGTGCCGGGCATGGGGCCGCCGCCCAGATCAAAGATGGTCTAGAATGAACGGAGGAATTGCGAGTGCGGGAGGGAGGAAGTAAATATGGACGGAAAGACGGAGAGAGACACAGCAGAAAATAGGTCTGGTAGGCACTCGGGTACTAGTTGTTGGCACAGGGAAGGAGAGTTAAGCTGGACTGAAAGAACCAGTCAGACAGAGAGAGGAGTCGATGATGCAGGATGATGGCAGTAGTGGGCAAAATGATGTCGATCAGTTGGTCCTTGCCCAGGGGATTGATTGATTGCAGCTAAACAGAGGGGGTGGTTTGGACGGAAGGATTCTGATAAATATAAAGCAAGTAGTAGGTAAATAGGTAGGTAAGAATAAGAGAGTGAAATTGAGGAACGCAGAGAAGAAGAAGAAGAAGAAGAAGAAAAGAAGAAGAAAGAGAGAGAGAGAGAGTGAGAGAGAGAGAATGCCCGAGAGGAGGAGAAAAGGAAGCAGAAGAAGTAAGAGAAGCAGAAAGCGAACAGTTTGAATTGGCAAGCGTCAAGACGGACGAACCACGAATCGGAGCGGGGAACGAATTCTGTGCTGGTCGGGCAGAATTAAGATTAATTTGGTTATAATTAGTATAGGATATCTAGATGGGATGATACTATGAGTATCAGTATCATAAGTCCCATGTGGATGTTCACTGATCAGGAATTGGTGATAATTATAATAAATTAAATTGTTTTCTTGAGGGGAGAAGGAGTGGAGAGGAAGAAGGAAGAAGCTCATACCTCCGAGTAGGTTATCTATGTACATGTACGGAGTACAGTAAGAGTAAATACTGTTGAAGTATATACTTGCTTCTTCCCCCTTCCCTTCCTTCCCTTTCCCTTTCCTTTCCTCAATGACTGCATTCATCCATTCATCCATTTATCTATTCAACAATCCATATTCTCTTAATAACCACTAACCCCCACCACTACTTCTTCAGGATCAACCAAGTCTCCTTCCTAGTTGTACAGTTGGCTCACCTCCAATTGACAGGTCAAGACACTGCCCGAAACAACGCCCTGCATTCGGGTAATGATGGATCGCATTCAGCCCATTGTGATGTATCCAGCCCAGCCTGGTCGGGGAATGTTCGGCGGTTATCTTACGGAGTACTTCTGTATACGCACCTCATTGTCCACCCTGGTCAAGCTTGAACGAACTATTATTCACTACTCGCAGTACTACTGCACCAGCAGCAGTAGTTAGTTATGTACTTACTTAGTGTGGCACAGTCTGTCATTTCATCTCGGCTAGTTGTGAATTACCCAAGGTCAATTTTCTTACTCCTCTATTCAATTTGGTTTCATCTTCACTGCCAGATGATTAAGACAGCTTCTGACGACAGAATTCACATGTAGTCTTCTTTTGTTTGTTTGTCTGGGATCGAAGGTGGTTGAGTCGTTCCCCTCCTTTTCTTTCTCTCGAGTCTAACTTACCTACTACTTTGGCTTCCTTTTCTACCTTTCCAGTCCTGCTTCTTCTATATTTCGATTGGAAACAAAGCAAAGTAATCAAGATTGATGTATCCTGTGGACTATGTGATCAGAATCCTACAACAACATCCAGGACTGCCAACAAAATATGCACCATGTCATCCGCGAATCAACCCGCGTTACAGTCGAGCAACTCCACCGCCCACATATTTCTAGGCGGCGCCCGACCAGCCTGGATGAATGCCTCTCCTCCTGTTGCTGTTCCTATTGCTTCACCACCTTTGAATGTTTTCCGCACACATCCACATCCACATCCGCAGCCACGTCCACCGCGTCCACCGCGTCCACGTCCCCTTGGCCTGTCGATCCCTCCTCCCTCCGCCAGAACGTTCCCTCCGCCTCCTCCTCCTCATCAATCGCAGCCACTCCTTCCAACACCTCCTCCTCCTCCACAAACCCCACCACCAATTTTAGCACCACCAGTTCCTGCTCCTCCCGCGACAAGCTATCTCACGTCCTCACGCCAACTTCAACCTTGGCCGGGTCTGCTTCGGAATGTGGCTGCAGCGCCTGTTCCCTCGTCGCGCCCTACGCCCTCCATTGCCCCGTCCATGACGCCCCCTATCACACCGGGGCCACCCATTGAACCCCGAAGGCGTCTCAGGCCCAGAGCTGGCGCAAAAACCGCAACATCCACCGCGGTAACGCCCACGGCAACGATCGCAGCAAGTGAATCAGCCAGTACTATACAATCACTGGACGTTCCTTTGACCTATCCACCTCAATTCAATGGGAATCCCGCGTACTTTCCCGCCAGCTTAAAGAAGCTGGATGCTTTCGCCTCTCACCCGGGACGAAATACCTCCGCATCCGTGACTTTGGAGAACGCCCGCCTGCGTCTGCTGCACGATGCCCTATCATGTCAGGATCTCATTTATCTAGTGATTCATCAATTATACACTCTAGTATCTTATGCTCCCGCCGAACTGGGGCAGCTGCAGGGTTTCTCTGAAGACCAGCTTACTGGCTTGAAGACACTGGAGCAGCTGCTGGTTGACAATGCACGTCTGTCGCCGCATTTTCTTCAATGGGCCGCGTGTTTTCCTGAGCCAATTTCCATTATGTTGCACCTGCCGTGGTGGACGGCTGCTCTTTCCCGGGCCATGACTGCCCTGGCCATGCTTGGCCACCGCTGGAATGCCTTTGAGGCGCATATTCGTGAGCGAGGCCTACCACCTCTGATTGAGGAGCTGGTTCAAAATTTCGCCTTGCGCTCTCATGTGCTGCATCATACCATTTTCTTGGCCTTGACGCGCCGTATCTCGGGTCCGAACAAGCGGGAAGAACGTCTCTCCGAGATCTTTCGGCACGACGCTGCCCTGACAGAGGTCCGTCTGGCTGAGGTCATGAAGAGATCTGTTCCAATTTCGCGCGCGCGCAAGGAGACCGATGCGATCCTAACGCTGTATCACATCAATATGGGTTACCCTCCGCCCCACACACCGCCGTCCGTCTTTGGCCCTCAACCCGTCATTGCCTCAGCTCCCCCGCAGGCAGGCCAACCCATTCACTCGGCTCGCACGCCGGGAGTGTTATCACTGCCCACCCCACCTCTCGCCGGCCATTCCCCACAATTCACACAGGCCTCACCTGTTTCCGCTGCGCCAGCCCCGGTCTTGCATCCTCATACACCCAACCTGACACCCACCATGGCTCACATGTCTGTCACGGTTCCTTCTCCAGGCTTTATTCCTTCCCCCACAGTGACGCCGGGTCAAGGTCCAGGTCATCCTCGTCGCCCGTCTGTACAGGCCGAAGCTGCTCAGCAAGCTATACTCGCAATGCGTCAAACCTCGCGGCCGGGGGCGCTTCGTCCAACACCATCTAAGCCTTCCACGTCTACGTTGCTCCTCCCTGCGTCTGGAAAGAAAATGCCAGCCAACGCTCCGCCATTACACCCTTTACGTGATGCGTTACATCAGGTCGATCTTCGAGAACCAGTTCACCAGCTAGTCAGAAGGGATTCTACGGGCCAGGCTCAAGAGACAAAGCTATTCCAATATCTAGATTCGTTCGCACTCATGCCAAGACCACTGGGCCGCTTTGAATGTCAGTTTCACTGGTCCTTCACCCTATCACAAGAGGCGGCGGATCGCCTTCCAGCTCCCTCGCAAAAGAGTTCTGGCGAGCTATCCCATCCTGTCCGTGTATTGATGGACGGTCAGCAGCTCTATCGGATGCGTTGTATATCTGTCTCGCCCGACACAAAACCCCCGATCGACGAATCTACCTGGAGTCGGGCTGCCTGCGCCTGGCCCAGCGTGATCTATATCTTCGTCAATGACACTGAACTCTTTGTACGTCGGAAATTACATCATCAGAAGGATGTACCTCTAGACATAACTCCTCATTTGCGCGCAGGTGAGAATAGAATCTCGATGCACTTCATTCGCGATGCAGCCGAGCAGAAGGACAAACTTTACGCCGCTGCCGTGGAGATCGCCCAGATTGCCGCTCTCGAGCCTGTCATGGCTCTTGCGCAGACTCTCCAAGCGGATAACTCCCGTCGCCAGATTCACCAGCGTCTTGAGCAGTCCTCCCGCAATGAAAACGAAGACGATGACCTCCATGTGGTTAGTAGCGACCTTATGATCAATCTTGTCGACCCCTTTACTGCTCACGTGTTTAAGCAACCTGTTCGTGGACAGCTTTGTCTTCACTCCGAATGTTTCGACCACGAGACATTCATACAAACCCGGGCCGGGGTCTCCGGACCGCGTGCCTTGCCCAACGACTGGCGCTGCCCGATCTGTCAGGGTGATGCTCGTCCACAGATGTTGGTACGCGACGAGTTTATGGTTGACGTGCACAAGGAATTAGTGCGCACGAATCAACTTGATGACGCCCGCGCCATTCGAGTCGCTCTCGATGGCTCCTGGACTGTGATCACTGAAGCAGATCTTCCAACCTCTAAACGCTCCTCCGCGGGCCTGGACAGTCCTATCCCCAAGAGACAAAAGATGGTCCAACCGGAGACAACCCCCCATCCCATTCGGACAGTAAGCGCGATCCCGGAAGTGATTGACCTCGATTGAAATTCCGGCGCATCATTTGGACTTCCAAGTTAACTCCACTGGCGGAGAACTCAGAACGGCGTCCATCTGAAGTTAATTCATGATTACGTCAAGTGTTGCCCAAAAACGGTGCTTTTCGTCTCCTTCGTTTCTTTCCGTCTTTCTTTTTTGTTCCCGTTTATTTCTCCCGGCGTTCAAGCAAAAGGAGCTCTTTCTCCACGATACCCCGAAATTCTTGTTGCTCTATGTCTATTTTATATCTCTAGATGAGAATGGAATTGGAATGCCGATTCCGTGGATATAGCGCTTTTTTTTTCTTAGGTAAATACAGACACATATCCCCAGTAAAAAGTCAGTTCCAACTGTTTCTGAATTCGTACCTTTCCGACTAGTAGTATCTAACACACCCTGTCCATGCACCGGTTTCACACTGCGATTCACAACTAGTGGTCCAGGGGGTGCACCTACAAAGGCTATGTGAGTCTTCTGCTTCCCCCTAAAGAACCCACCGTCCACATGATGGATTAAGTCGGTCCATTTGGCACGATATCCTTAGAATGTTGTATCCGAGCACAGTGTACCAATACAAGGCAATACGACCGAGACCCGATGAAACTCTGAGTATTTGTACTTTGCATATTCTTCCACCCGCGCAAGAAATGGCAACTGAACCACCAACCTGTGCTACTTCCACTGACTCCAACCATGATAATTCCAGCAAACTCAACCACATAAAACCCGTCCGTCTGTTCTTCATAAACTAAGCCAAGACACACAGCCACTCAAGAGAACTGATTAGGAATTCAAACACGAAGAATGCATCAGGTATATATCATGTCATTACCAATAGAATTAGAACTTTGTTTCTACCTCCATTTCCTGGAGCTCCAAATGACCCCTGCACCCACCCCAGCCCAAACTGATCGTCGTTTGTATCCTCAAGGTTTTCCCGCATTCATCCGGAATTGACTTTTTCGGCCCCGTCCTCATTATAAGCTATAAGATAGTAAAAAATCATCTGTCCGGTGGTTCCTTTCCCGCGAGATGTTTTGGTGTGGTCTACTACTACTACTACTCCTACTCCGTACTACTTCCTCACTCTCCTTGCATGACTGACGAGATTTTCAATCACGCCTTCAAATGCCTCTTTCTCGCTTACTAACCCGTCCAGCCGTTTCAGCCAGTATTCCAGCACCGAGCTCGCCCGCAACGTGACCCATTCCAATTCCTGGACGTGGCCCTTGAGTTCCCCGTCCGTCAGGCCCCCGAGCGCCGCGTCTGTGGTGGCGCAGAGGCGGCGGACGGCCGAGAGATCGAGCTCGGGTGGTGGGGAGGCTTCCCGTCTCCGACGGGCGGCGGTGCTGCGGGGCGTTCCGCCGGGGCTGCCGGCGGTACTTTGGATGCTGTTGCGGTTGGCGTTGGCGGCGAGGCTCTGGGAGCGGGAGTGGGAGCTTGCGTGGGTTGGCGTGGCGGTGCCGGGGTTTTGGGAGGCGGTATTAGGCGTGGCGGTTGAGGAGATGCTGGAGGAGATGGCAAGGGAGGGGAGAACGAGTTTCTTCTGTTTCGAGGCGGGGAGGATCTCGTCGAGGTCGACGGGGACACCGAGTGAGACGAGGAAGAGACGGCGGATGCGGGATTTCACCCAGTTCTGAGGCTGAAGAGGTGGGGGAGCGACGAGTTGGGACCAGAGGGAGAGGGAGCGTTCGGTGCTGAAGATGGCGGTGGCGTTGGGGATGGGTTCGGGTTTCGAAGATGGTAATGGTGATGTTGTGGAGGGAAAGAGTTGATCGAGAGGGTCGTCCAGCGCCGCGTAGAGGTCGGGGATTCTTTGGTAGGTGGTTAGATCGAGGAGGGTCGGCTTGAGGGAATCGTTAGCAATGAGGCCCCGGACGAGAAGACTCCTTCACATACAACAGAGGGCGGCGTGGGAGGTTGCGAGACTTCAACATCCATGGGGACCGCTGCACTCGGCTCCTGGAAGCCGTCGTCAAAGTCCCCAAAGTCCGCGTCGTCGAAGTCTCCCATGTCGTCTTGCCCCTCGGTGAAATCATCGAAGTCGTCTGCACCACCCCCAGGCGTTTCTTCTTCCCCGAACTCTTCGCCCGTCACTGATGATTTCCGGCGGGTGTGACTTCGATGGCTTGCAGGCGAGTCTGCATTGGTCAATCGTCCCTGAAATTTTATGCTGGTGGTTAACAGAAACCCGACTTACCTGGGGGCGCCGCGGTGACCGCTTCCGTTTGATCCGGCTGGGGGTCACTGGGTTTTGCCCGATGAGCATGTGGTTGTGATTCTTCGGTGTCATCTGATGAAACTTGTGGTGATGGTTCTTCGTCGTTTGTGGGGGAGTTGACTTGAGACAGCAGCGTCTCGGGGACGGGTGTATCGGTAAGAATGGAAACGGACTCGGGGATGGGCGCAGCATCCGACTCTGATGCTTTCACGACAACGTCTGGTACCGCATCCGCTCTCCTTAGTTCGTAGGCCGAAGTACCAGGTATGTCCCCGTGGCTCGGTTGATCTAGATCCACCTTCTCGACCACCGTCCGGGGAATCGGAGAACTGGGCGTCATCGGTCGTTGCTGCTGCCCGGATGTCGAAGTGCTCCGACTGCGGGACCCATCAGGGACGACTTCAACTTGATCGGGAACGGCGTCTTGAGTCCTAATCTCATACGCCGCCGTGCCGGGGACTTCGCCATGTGCTGGATTCTCATCGACTCGTTCCACTCGTGTTAAGGGGATAGGGGATGCGCGCCCGGCGGAGGAGGAGGGGCGGGAAGGTGGGAGTTGATGACCCTCGCTGGCATCAGAGAAATGCTCATCGTCGCTGTTGGCGGCTATCATGTCATAGAAAGTGTTAGGAGATCCCGCGACCAGAAACCAGTCCAAATTGCGAGGATGGTGGGTTTGCAAAGAGGCTTACCGGAGTCCTGAGCACCGGGGTCTTCCAACTCGACGGTCTTCCTTGGAGGCTCCAAGTATGGACTGGATGGACGGGAGATCCGATCCGACATTTGAGGAGCGGGACGTTCAAGTTAGATTTAACGATAGAGCATGTATTTCTAGATGCAGTCGTCCGTGTTGGAAGAAGTTAGGAGGCAAAGGGGACTGGGGGGGGGGGGGGGGCGAGTAATAGCCAGACGAGAGTGCATGAGGTCGTCTCAGCCGTGATCGTCGGGGTCGATGCGAGTCTCGACCGTGGCCTGAGGCAGCAAGACATGCTGTTCTTTCATGCCTGATTCTGAGCCTTGTGGCCTAACCGCCAGCCGCCACAAGCGCCGAAGCTGCTTCCTTCAGCCGCCTGTCCGCCGCCCAAAGAGTAGAAGCGGCAGAAAGTCTGGAGATTCCCAGCTTCAACTGCCACAACGCTGCTGACCTTGATTTTGTCTCTGCTTGCCAAGCACGCGGATTCCGCTCTCTCAGTCCGATCATTTGCGCTTCTTGCTTTCTAGAGAGCGCTTCCGTGACCTCTTTTTCGGGCGCAGTCAGTATCCCTCTGTCTGTTCGGACTCTTTTCATCTCCCTCACTTCCCCGTCCGAGACTGACTTTGTTTTCTTCTCCCCTTTAGGGTAGCCCTGTCAAATCCATATCCCTCACTTTCCCTTGGCTTCCGGCCCCATCGCTATGAGTATGTTCTCTTTCGACTCCAACGCCTCCAGCGGCGCTTCCAAAGGTGGTCTTTTTGGGTCCGCCGGAGGCGCAAATTCTGGTGCTCCCAGCGGCGGTGGGCTCTTTGGCAATGTAGGAGCTACCACGACAAGCGGCTCATCTTCACCTCTTTTCGGTAACGCTGGGGCTGCCGCTGCCAACAGCAACGCATCACCGTTCAGTTTTGGCGCTGCGAGCAAGCCAGCAGCAACGGGCCAGTCGACGCCCTTATTCGGTTCTAACGCTTCCTCCACCCCAAACAAAACGACCGAAACCCCCAGCTCGGGACAGACTGCTACCAGTGGACTTTTTGGGAACAACGCCTCCAAGCCTTTGTTTGGCAATGCCACAGCTACCCCGGCGCAACAGGGAGGAGGCCTCTTCGGAGGTGCTTCGTCCACTACGCCTGCTGGACCCCCGCCTGCCACTACCGGTCAAGCGCCTTCTCTCTTCGGAGGAGCCCAGCAGGCACAAAAGCCCGCCAACTCTCTGTTTGGGGGCTTGAACCCAACTCCCGCCGCCGCTACGGCCCCGGCTGCTACGAGCACCACCAGTTCTGCGACCACCGCGGCGACCACCGCTCCTTCGTTGTTCGGTAATGCCAACGCTACACAGCCGCAGTCGACTGGCGGCGGCCTTTTCGGGTCAAACCCGGCTCAAAAGCCATTGTTCAACGCAACCCCTTCGGCAACCACGGGCGGTGGTCTCTTTGGAAACGCGAACAAAGACAAGCCTGCCGAAACCACAACAACAACCCCCGCGACTACTTCCAACGACAGTGCCCCGAAATCTCTCTTTGGCAATGCCGCTCCGGCTGGAGGTGCTGCCCCTGCTTTCAAGCCACTGAGCGGTGCCGATGCGACAAAGCCCGCCTTTCCCTCGCTAGGTACCCCGACTACCGGCACCACATCCTCCATCACACCCGCTGCTTCCTCTTCTACTCCTCAAAAATCACTATTCCCCACACTCGGCGGAGCGACTTCATCAGCCACCCCTTCTACTACCCCAGCTGCCCCTAGCGGCGGATTGTTCAACCTTGGCGGAGCTGCCGCGACGAGCACAACTACAACCACCCCAAGCACCACAGCTACTGCTGCCCCAACAACCACCCAATCCGCTGCCCCTGCTACCGGCGGTTTGTTCAGCAAGCCTGCTGCGACCCAACCCTCCACCCAATCCGCTCCCACACCTGCAGCTACCGCAACCGACAAGCCCGCGACGTCGACTACCATGCCTGCAACAGGCGCCAGCGGCCTCGGTGCCTCCACGGCCGGCCCCACCCCTCCCGCCCAATCCCGCCTAAAGAACAAGACTATGGACGAGATTATCACCCGCTGGGCCACCGACCTTACCAAGTACCAGAAGGACTTCCGCGAACAAGCCGAGAAGGTTGCCGAATGGGACCGCATGCTCGTTGAGAATGGCACCAAGGTCCAGAAGCTTTATGGTAGTACCGTTGATGCCGAACGGGCCACACAAGAAGTGGAACGCCAGCTCGCCTCCGTTGAGGGACAGCAGGACGAACTGAGCTCGTGGCTCGACCGGTACGAGCGTGAAGTCGATGAGATGATGTCCAAACAGCTCAATCCTGGTGAATCTCTCCAGGGACCGGACCAAGAGCGTGAGCGAACGTAAGTTCTTTCTTCCGTCCATGTGATCAGCCACTGATTCAAAACAACTACAGTTATAAGACTGCTGAGCGACTTTCCGAGCGCCTTGACGAGATGGGCAAGGATCTTACCAGCATGATTGAAGAAGTCAACAGTGCCTCTGCTACTCTGAGCAAGACAAGCAAGGCTGATGAGCCGGTGCGTATTCATTCGATACTCTTTTGTAACGCTTCTTCCCTGATACTGATCCACGAAATCACAGATTTCTCAAATCGTCCGCATCCTCAACTCCCACCTTGCGCAGCTTCAAACGATTGACCAGGGCACCACCGAGCTCCACGAGAAGGTCGCCAAGGCGCAGCGGGCGGGTCAGTCGCTGTCCTCGCGATTCGGATACGGAGGATTGGGTAATTCGACGATGGGCGGTAGCGCAGCGGATGATTTCTATCGGTCTTACATGGGACGGCGCTAAACATAATGCAGTGGAGTTTTATTTCATACTGGTGGGGGCCCCTTCACGTTTGCGCTAGGCTTTGACTCTGCAGTTTTGTATCCACTGAGAAATGCTTTTTTATCGGAGTACTCGCTTTGCACTTGCGACTGTGGTTGCGTCGGATTTGTCATGGGATGGGATGGATAATGAAGAATAATAAAGTATCATTCTACCTAGAAGTCCCTTCGTATGCCTTGTACTGCGGTATATGTATTAATTCAAATAATCTATGCGTTCTTGAGCGGAACCGTGGGACCGTAAGTATAATCATGGTAGATTTACACATAGAACACAGCGAAGAATCGAATGCTTCCGTATAGTAAACGTCTCAGCGTAGACTAACTAGCTGCACGGCATGCTAATATCAAAAAAGCATGACCATCACATCAACATACAAGTCATATTCGTCAAATATCGCTCCGATTTACGAAGCAAGGATAGAGAGAGGAGTGTGACACGTTCGCGGGGATATAATAAGAACGAAACAAAAAGAAGAAGCAAGAGGCTTATGTAGTAGACCGAGCTGAGAGGTCAACTTCGAAGATATAGAGGATGTTGGGGTATTGGGGGGTGTGCTGTGCACGCAAATCTAGTTCTGCTCGCCGCCCTGCTCCTTGGTGATCTCGTCGCTATAGTGAACAATCGAGGTTAGTTGAAAGGTTGTTGGACGAGATTTTTTTTTGGTCGATAGAAGCCTTACATGTGCTCGTCGAGCTTGTCAAGGTGTTCACGCTGAGCCTTGATGCTCGCTTTTAGCTTCTGGAGCCTGTTGATTGTAGGTCAGCATTGAGATAGGCGATGGTGGTTCGGGGACGGAATGGGCTGATGGACGTACTTCTCCAATTCCTTCTCGTGGATGTAACGACCTTCCTGGGCGGCTTCACGCTTGGTGAAAGAGTCACTGCGTTGGGATTCGGGTTAGCCTTAGCCTTGAAATTGGTGGTTGAGGTGATGATGATGATGATGATGTCATCTGTGAGCAGTGTTGTAGAGAGGAATTGGGGTTGCTTGCGGTGGATGGGATTGGCTTTGAACGTACCCTGACTGAACGCCGCCAGCGCGGGGAGCACCGGTATCACCTGCACCCATTCTGGGGGTAAGAGCAGAGAAGGAGCGGCTGATGACAGTGCTGGTGAGAGGCTTGGTGATGGATTGGCGGAGCATGGTGATTGAGTTGGGCTGAGCGGGAAGTGGTTGGGGATGTGAGGAGTGAGGAGGGGGTGGAAGATGGAAGGAAGTTATCGGTTGGAGGAGGATGTGTCAGATGGTGATAGTGACAAGACAAGGTACATGAGACGATGCAGCGTGAGGCGAGCTTTGCTCAGGTACTTGTAGTACTTTGGGCTGGTGGTACTTTCGTGCTGGATTACCTAACTTCCCACTGCTGTCGAGACCAATGACGACATTGAATGGGAAGTGGTTGGCACGGCACTGGCCGATCATGTGATGCGTCGGCCCCGGATGGGGAGATGGTCCGATGCCGCGGGCGGGTTCATCCCAGAGCGGGTGACTCAGCCATCGTCAGGTCGGGCCCGATAACTTGTGTTGTGTTGCTGGTGGTCAGGTGAGCTGCCGTCGGCAAGCTCTAACGGGTCCCGCGTCATGACTGTGCTGCTGCTGTTGTTGTGGTGGTGGTGGTGGTGGTGGTGGCTGAGAATGTTGAATGATTGTCACCATCTCCTCCTTGCCCACCTCCCCCCTTTATGGTATCGTCACGCCAAATCTACAGATTCACCTTCCACACTGTCTAGTCTCTACACGGACTCTTGGCCTAAATACCAATCATGTGCTACATTCGAGTCCCTTTCCACAGGCAACGGGCCAACACTGATGATAAGCTTGACAAAGAGCCGCCGACCTGCCACTGCCAGCGATCCCTGAGGGATATTAATAGGATGAAAGATGGGATAGCTTCCCTCCAATAGTCGGATCCATCAGTACTATTATTCCCCGAGGTTCCAGAAAAAGAGAAACGCAGACCCCCTTGAGCCCAGATCAATCAATATTTCCAACACCTCGATCACAAATTGCTACCTGGCGGCGCCTCCATCTTCACCCTTTTTTCCCCTATTGTTTTCTTTTTTTTCGGTACCCGCTTCATGAATTGATATGTGTATCGTCGGCCCCCTTCATGATGACCTTAACTGGGGTGGTGAAAGAGTGGGCTGGACAATTGGCGGAAGTGAAATAGGGATGACGATGAGAGGCCCACCGAACCACTCAAGCGACCGACCTAAACCAGCCAGATTGGCAGGCAGGCAATCACCCACGCCATTAAACATTCAGGACTCAGGAGAGACGTATCCCAGACGCTTTGGAATCTGCTCTGTACGGAGTAGTCGGGGAGAATTTCTGAGGCTTCTTCTTGATTCTGTTCCAGGCTGGATCTTTGTTCAATGGGCGTCATGATTCCGGTCTGCCGTACCATGCGCCTTCACCCAGTGCATTGGGCTTGATATTGCTAGTAGTCGGTTGGCGCCTACGTAGTGCACAGAGAGCTTCTGTCTGCTTCTGTCCGTCTCTATTCTGCTGGCCTACTCTCCCACACCCTGCGCAATCCCCAGCAAATCAATTCTAGAAATCCACCAGAAGGGGAGAAGAATTTATAATTGGCAGTAGTACCGTATTGACAGCAATAATATCCCGGCCCGCAGAACCCATAGCGGCAATATTGCGGTGTATTTCTCCATTTTGGATTTTTTTTCTCTGGGTAATAATGAGGGGAAGGGGGTCGAAAATGGATACACCATCATCCACCTCCTATCTAGACTCTAACCGTGCGATGTCCATTCTTGCAACATGAACTGACTATTCCGTACGGTAGGGGGGAAAGAGAGTGGCTGAATGGTTCAATTTTCTTTAGGTACGGATGTAAAAAGGAGTAAGAGGCGTGCATGAGTTCCTTGAGTTTAGTTACCAGTTAGGCTGAAGAGGCTGAGGATCATGACGATGATGACAATAATGATGCGATGTACGGAGTACTTGTCTAGGCTTGGGGGAGGGGGGGGGGGAGAAGATTTCCTGACCATAGAATGAGAAAGGGAGGAATAGAGATGAGTAAAGAGTACTCCGTAAATGAGTGCGTGACTGAGTGATTGACTCTCTTTTGTCTGTCTGTCTATCTGTCGGTGTCTGTTTTGTTCTGTTCAGTCTGGCTCCTCCTACGCCTCCGTTCCCCTCCCCTCCCCCCCCCTCTCTCACTCTCTTTCCGGCCGCCATTAATTGCCCATTTCCCACCTGCACTAAACAG